GAACTGAAGAATGATCAGATTAATTATTTAGTAGAGTGCATAGCTTTCATCCTGAGCCACAATTTATTTTGGGCAGCAGGATAATTTTTCATCCAGATTGAGGGCAATGCCATGGGAACCAGGTTTGCACCCAGCTACACAATTTTTTTTTTTTTTAGACAATCTTTATTTAGTCAACAGGGTTTTTTCCAGTTTATAACAGGGTAGAAAACTTTTGGTAGGAACAACAATATATGCCAATGCTAGACAACGTTGTTAAGCTTTAACATGCAGGAAGGATATTTAAACTGGTACCCAAGGGTACTATATTCTGAAGTAGTGTGTACAACGTGTGCAACCGTTATGACTGACTGTCATCATTGTTAGAGTTCCATGGTGTCCTTAGTTAGGGTGCTGTGTTGTAGTCAATTGCAGCTGCGACCCCCCCCCCACCCATCCCCGTATTCGCTATTTGTCCATGGCAGGGTAGTAGTGTTGTAGTGAGTGTAGCGCTTGGGTATGGGCCCACAGATCTGGTTGGAGTGTCGCAAAGGTAGACTATGGGTTTGTTGTTATTGAGTCGAGCCTCGGCCAAAGTAAGTTCTTATCTCTTGGTGGTCGGCCCACCTTGTGAGCTGAAGTTCCAGCAAAAGCGGGGTGGGAGGGAGAGGGGGCAGGAGGGACCGGCGCGGGGGGGTGTCAACAGGAGGAGATGAGATGGAGGTGGGGGGGAGAAGAGAAAGAGAAAAAAAAGGGGGAGGGGCAGTGGGGTGGTAGCATGTTAAGGCACATCTCTCCGAGGTGCCACGCAGGGAGGCCATGAGAGATTCCATGCTATACAAGTCCTCCATGCTGTTCATCCATTGTTCCATGTTCGGTAGATCGGTGTTGTGCCATTTGAGAGGTATGAGTGATTTGGCCATGTTCAGGAGATGTCTGGTGAGGGAGCGTTTGTATTTTGCTACACAAATTTATTTATGGGAAAATAGGAAGGTGAATATATTTGGAGCAATTCCCCAGCAGTAGCAAACCTGGTCCTATGGCAGAGGTACATCGATGGTTTTTCATTTGGAAGGGCAATCTAGAAACCTTAGAACAATTCAAGCATTATCTGGATTTTAACCAATATCATTTTAGATTCACCTTCCATCATTCAAAAGAATCTGTTGAATTCCTGGATTTGGAGAAATGTATTAAAGAGGATATAATCAATACCAAAACCTTCAGGAACTTAGTTGACTGCAACAGCTTTATCCCCTCCAACAGTTACCATAGAAGGACATGGCTGGACAACATAGCATACAGCCAATTCAGAAGGGTTAGGTGCAACTGTTCAGAAACAGAAGTGTGTAAACTACAAATGAAAGAGATGCAACAGCAATTCTTGACGAAAGGGTATGCAAAAGACGTACTGGAAGGAGCAATAATGAGAGCATTGTTAGTGTGTGAGTTGGCAGTGTTTGTATGTGAGGGGGTGGTGTGTGTGTTTGTGTGAGGGGGCAGTGTTTGCATGTGAGGGGGTGGTGTGTGTGTGTGAGGGGGCAGTGTTTGGGTGTGTGAGGGGGGCGTGTGTGTGTAAGGGGCAGTGTGTGTGTGTGGGGGCAGTGTGTGTGTGTGTGTGTGTGTGAGGGAGGCAGTGTGTGTGTGTGTGTGTGTTTGGGGGGCAGGTATGTGTGTGTGTGTGGAGGCAGTGTGTGTGAGGGGGTAGTGTGTATGTGAGGGGGCACTGTGTGTATGTGAGTGGGCGGTGTCTGTGAGGGGGCAGTGTGTGTGTGATGGGGCAATGTGTGTGTGTGAGGGGACAGTGTGTGGGTGGAGGGGGCATTGTTTGAGTGAGGGGGCAGTGTGTGTGTAAGGAGAGCAGTATATTGTGTGTGTTTGTGTGAGGGGGTGGTGCGTTTGTGTGTATAGTGCGTGTGAGGGGTGCAGTCTGTGTGTGTGAGGGTACAGTGTGTGTGATGGGGCAGTCTGTGTGTTTGTGTGAGGGGGCAGTCTGTGTGTGTGAAGGGTGCAGTGTGTGTAAGGGGGAGGTCTGTGTGTGTGATGGGTGTAGTGGGAGCGATGTGAAAATCTACCTTAATGTCTTCCCCTCCCTTCTTCTTAGCTTTTACCAGTGAGGGGGGACATAATGCTGCAAGCCCTGGTCACCAGTGGTGGTATGTTCACTTTAGCCTGCAGCTCCTCTGGCTGCAGGCTGACTCTAAGTGCCAGAGATTACAACAAGGCTTATGAGAAAGATTACAGCAAGGCAGGCTCTGCATAGGCTGGCAGGGGAGATGAAAGAATCTCCCCTGCCGGCCTTGGTCCACAGCTATCGATGCCCATCGGGCGTTTTCTGCAGAACCCACCACCACCCACCTAAAATCCCAAACCACCCACTAGTGGGCGGTAGGGACCAGGTTGACTACCCTTGCTCTAGGGAATAAAAGAAAAACATCACAACAACAAAAAATGGAGATTCCTTCATTTATAACCCAGTATAGCAAACAATCATTGCAGCTAACAAAAAATCTTAGTAAACATTGGGATATACTTAAAGGAGACCCAATATTGGATAAAATCCTGGGAGACAAACCAAAGAGCACCCAACTTAAAGACGATGTTAGTTCCAACACTAAAATAAAAGAAAAGATATGGAATCAGAGGATACAGGATTCCAGAGATGTAGGAAATGTTTAGGATGCAAATATAACACTAACAAAACACCACAGATAAATGAATTCACGCATATGGAGACCGAAGAGCATTTCAAGATCAAAACCCATCTGAACTGCAATTCAATTGGAATAATATACCTGCTTATATGCCCATGTGGTAAATACTATATAGGAATAACAAAAAGAGCTATTAAAGTTAGGTTAAGCGAGCATATAAGAAATATCAAAAAAGGTCTCATAACACACAACCTTTCTAAACACTTTCATATTAAACATTCAGGCAATCCCGAGGGTTTGAACTTTATGACGATCGAAAAGTTAGCTTACACTGGAGAGGAGGGGATATAGAGATGGCCTTAGATAGAGCAGAGGCCAAGTGGATCTTCCAACTAGACACACTGGAACCAAAAGGGTTGAATGTAGATTTTGAACTGAATGCATTTCTATGAAAAACATGTGTGAAGTATGAATCCTTTATTATATATTTGCTTATAATCTGATATTTCTGTAGTACGTATCCTATATATATTTATGTACTGCATCTAGTGATTAAGATATAATTCTATTTTCAATTGATTTACGTTTATTTTAGATTATATATTTTAAAATTTTTAATGGAATCTTGATTTTTGTTAAACTGGACCTACCTTTCATTCTTTATTTTTATTTTTTATCTTTATTTGCAGTTACTTATTGTTTAGTTTTTATCTTTATTTTTTTTTTTGGTTCCTTTTTCTCTATTTATTTATTGTTTTATTTTTTTTTTACTTTTAATATTTGCTATTTATTTTTTATTTTGATTTGTATTCTCATTTTTATTATAATTTATTTTTTTCTTTATTTTTATTTTATTCTTTATTTTTACTATTTTTTATTTTAATTTTATTTTTGTATTATTTTATTTAATTTATTATATTTTTTTCATTTAACATATTTAATATTTTCTTTCATTATTTTGTTCACTTCTAGTTTCACTATTGGATTTCCATGTTATTTTGACCACTTTTTGGTGTGACACCCACTGTTGTTCCATCCAATTAGATACATGTCTTTTTTAGTGACAGATTAATATGTATGTTGGGCTTTTATTTTTTTGCAGTGCATGAAAATAGTACAAGCAGGCTTCAGGTGCCCCAAAAGCAGTCCTCAGTCTGTTTCCTCGCTTTATATGCGGGACATCCGAATAACAGGCACAATTTTATAGACATGTGCAATTCGTTTCGGTCCGAATATGAATTCGGACGAATTTCGGGCAATTCGAATATTCCGAATGTCCGAATAGCCGAAGTGCTGAATTGCCGAGGTCCCGAAGTTCAGAAAATACTGAATTTCCGTAGTGTTGAATTGTCGAAGTTCAGAAGTTGCCACAGTTACGAAGTACAGTATTGCCTACTAAAATACTTACCCAGTGGAAGAAGAAGAATGTTACACTGTATACAAGTTTAAATAAAAAGTATACAAACATAGCCAGGATTCAGCTGTAAGCATTTGCAACACTCACAACAAGTAACATACATTCATATAAAATGTAAGTTACTTAGCCAGTCAATGTAATGACAGGAATGAATAAGTAGATAACTCCCTAATTCCCACGGTATTAGGGAGCTATCTACTAAAATGCTGAAAGATCTGAATTGGTCTTTCAGCCAAATTTACTAATACTAAGTAAAGATTACTTAGTATTAGTAAATTATGCCCCTACTCGCTATACCGCGAGTAGGGGCATGTCTATTTAACAGTGAGCAGCCTATGTTTACTAGTAATCTTTACTTAGTATTAGTAAATTTGGCTGAAAGACCAATTTAGGTCTTTCAGCCTTTTGGTAGATAACTCCCTAATACCATGGGAAATAGGGAGTTATCTACCAAGTGGCTGCAAGAGAAGTTCAGAAATTCCAAAGTGCCGAACCAAAAAATTCTCCCATGCACATGCCTACAATTTTATATTATTAGCATGCTTAGTTACTTAGGTCATACTTTAAGCTAGTTAATCGAGTTTAGCTTCATTCGATCTGAACCTGAGCGGGCATTCTAGATTTAATTAACGAGGTATACATATAGTGCTATATCTTACATGACTAGCTGGCATGGATATGTCTATGATAACACGTCTATTCTATACACATTAATTACACTATTAGTAGTTCTTAAGGCTGCAGATATGTACTTGTTGATTACAGTATTGGCTCTTGTGGCTTAGCATAAGAGTACAGTGTATGATAAGGTACATGCTGGAGTTAGGTATGTTGCTTCTATGAGGATATCACCCTGTTTGATTAAGGCTTCTGGTGGCACCACAGCAGGTAGAGGCTGGCATCATAGTGGAGCAGTCTTTTGGTGTAGCAGGGGGTTAGTGTCCATTGGGTCAGAGATCTGGGCACGTCGTCTTTTCTTTCCATTGGGTTCCGTGCAGGTTGCCTATGTGTTGCAGCTGAGGTAAGTTGGGTCTGCCATGTTTATGTTTCAGGAGGCTAGTGTCTTCCGAGGTATGGTGCAAGATGGTGTCTGGGAAAACTTGCTGCCTTTCTCCACGCTGGTTTTTTTTTTGTCTCTGTGATATAAGTCCGGTGTGAAGTGAGTATGGGGTCGGCTTCGTTACAGGAGTACCTCGCTTGTCGGCAAGAGCGGTTGTTTCTGGTGGCATCGGTCTCCGTGTTATGTTCTGTCCCCTCGGGCCACCGACCACAGAAATGTTGGTGCTACGGGATTTTAGTCTGCTACTAGAACATTTAGCTCATTAGGCAAGTTCCTTTGCTGTATAATAGCAAGGACTTTTGTACTTTGCCTTTTTAAGAGCCACCATTCTCTGTACTTTTTGGACTATCCTAGCATACATTTGTGTACATAATTAAGCAGGTAAGATCCCTGGCTTTGTGCATATAGGGGGATTTCTGCCAAACCTTGGCTTGAACTGATACAATGTAAACTTTTTAAACCAAGTTATTTATCATCATTATTCTTTCTGTATCAATTGAGGCTGGTATTTGAATAGAGAAGACATATATTCTGTATTATACCAATTATCCAATATTCACTGCTTAGTAGATTTCCCTCTGTCTTTTATATTTGTGTATATATTTATTTGTCTCTCCTCTCTCCCTCTATCTCTCTCTAAAACTGTTAATATCTACTCCTAATTTAGGCATTGGACTTAATCCATTTGCCTTTTCTTCTCATTTTATTATAATTCTATATCGCCTAGGGCAATGATGGCGAACCTATGGCACGCCAGGCCCTATCTGTGGGCATGCGGCCATATGTCGCCATCAATGTAGAGTAGGCACCTGCCTTCCCAAAACGGCAGGCGCCTACTCTGCTTCCGTGTCAGGAGGACAGGGATCTGAGAAGCAGCTCTCCTGTCCTCCCGCGAGCAATCTGTGTGGAGCATTGTCGTGTGTTACACACACACAGTACCCTCCTCACACACACAGCACTCCACACATACACACATACACTGCACCCCTCAATGCAGTATGTGTGTGTGTTTGTATTCAGCAGACTGTGTGTATGTATTCAGCAATCTGTGTACACTCAGCAGTCTGTCTGTATGTGTATTCAGCAGTGTGTGTATTTAGCGGACTGTATATACATATTCAGCAGTTTGTATGTGCGTGTATGCAGCGGACTGTGTGCATGTGTTCAGCAGTCTGTGTGTATGTATTTTATGTATGTATTGCATTTGATGGAGATACTAATAAATATAAGAGAATAGAAAAGGGGAAGACTCTGCGCTAACTCAATTGAGCAGCAACCCTAAAAAGGGAATCCCTCACGAAACCCTTTTAGAAACAAGAAGGTACAAAAAGAGGAATTAAGGGCTGCGCTTTGACAAAAATGAGTAAAAAAGTAGTATATGAATAAAATAAGCAATAAAGATAAAAACAAGTAAAGTTCATCCGAATAAATAGGAGTATAAATTAAAACAGTCTCACTGATGTGCAGTAATATAATAATAATCCTCAAGTGTCGCTTCGTCCGTATGGTAGGTAGTCCATATATGTGAAGACAAAAGATAAGAAAAAAAGCTATCTTTGGTGAAATATTGTATGTCCAAATGTGGTATATATTCAAAGGAAAGGTATTTCACTCACATTTGTTGGAGCTCCAACCGGCTCTAGGAGAAGAAGCACTTAGTGGTTTAATCCCCACTATCGGATATACTTTAGTGGTTGGTCGGTCGGTCGGTCGGTCCGTCCGTCCGGCTTGAGATTTCTTTGATGTAGGCTAGGACCTACTCAGATGTGCGTTATTCGTTTATGCTGGGGAGATAGGTCCGCCATCAGTGAGACTGTTTTAATTTATACTCCTATTTATTCGGATGAACTTTACTTGTTTTTATCTTTATTGCTTATTTTATTCATATACTACTTTTTTACTCATTTTTGTCAAAGCGCAGCCCTTAATTCCTCTTTTTGTACCTTCTTGTTTCTAAAAGGGTTTCGTGAGGGACTCCCTTTTTAGGGTTGCTGCTCAATTGAGTTAGCGCAGACTCTTCCCCTTTTCTATTCTCTTATATTTATTAGTATCTCCATCACATCTGAGTAGGTCCTAGCCTACATCAAAGAAATCTCAAGCCAGACCGACCGACCGACCAACCACTAAAGTATATCCGATAGTGGGGATTAAATCACTAAGTGCCTCTTCTCCTAGAGCTGGTTAGAGCTCCAACAAATGTGAGTGAAATACCTTTCCTTTGAATATATACCACATTTGGACATACAATATTTCACCAAAGATAGCTTTTTTTCTTATCTTTTGTCTTAACATATATGGACTACCTACCATACGGACGGAGTGACACTTGAGGATTATTATTATATTACTGCACATCATTGAGACTGTTTTAATTTATACTCCTATTTATTCGGATGAACGTTACATGGTTTTATCTTTATTGCTTATTTTATTCATATACTACTTTTTTACTAATTTTTGTCAAAGCGCAGCCCTTAATTCCTCTTTTTGTACTATTAAATATAAGCCTAATTTTATCTATAATTAAAAATGTTATTCCTGTGAGTTGTGTGTAGGCAGTGCCCCGGTGCACTGCTTTGCCCGGGGGCCTATAATGTTGTTAAGGTGACACTGGTGGGTTGGATGGAGGGCTGCGAGGGAGCACCGACTTACGTGCCGTTCCAGCACTGCTTCCTACCCTGATGCCCCCGGGAGACAGGAAATGACGTCAATCAGGTGGCGCCACCTGATTGACGGAATTTCCTGTTTCCCAGCAGCACCAGCGGAGGGAGCAGTGCTGGAACAGCATGTAAGTCAGTGCCCCCTCGCACCCAAAACCCCTCACAGCAGCGGGAAGGAATCGGATCTACCAGGTAGGGAGCCTGGGTGGACTTCAAACCCCAACCCGGACCAAAAAAACCCCACATTATTTATGTGCTGGGAGGGAGAGGGGGATATACAGGGGGGAGGGGGATATGCTGGGGTAGTGAGGGGAAGATGCTGAGGGGAGAAAAGAGGAGATGCTGCGGGGAGAGAAGAGGAGATACTGCGGGAAGAGAAGAGGAAAAGCAGGGGGAGAGAAGAAGAGAAGCTGCGGGGAGAGAAGATGAGATGCTGCGGGGAGAGAATTGGAGAATATGGGGGAGAGGAGGAAGAGGAGGAGATGCTGGGAGGGAGAAAGGGAGAGGAGGAGTAGATGCTGGGGGAAGAAGAGATGTTTTGGGGAGAAGGGGAGAGGAAGATGAGAATGAGATGCTGGAGGAAGAAAGGGAGAGGAAGAGGATATTCTGGAGAAGAGGAGGAGATTCTGGGGGGAGAATGGGAGAGAAGGAGTGGGAGATGCTGGGGGGAGAAGGGAAAATGAGAATCTGAGGGATAGGAAGATGAGAATCTGGGAGAGAGGAGGAGGAGAAAATGCTGTGGGTAGAGAAGAGGAGAATTAGTTTGGACAACTGTACTAGTTGTTTTTTCTAAACTTAAACCTCAGTATTCAGGTTTAATTGCCGGGTTTAATTGCGGTTTGGGCACTAGGGCTCAAAAAGGTTCGCCATCACTGGCCTAGGGTGTGGGCTATTATCAGTTGTTTAGCAGATATGCTCTTTTTTCCTAATTCTTCCTTTCTTACTATACCTAAGAGAGTCTATTCCCTCTAGGTTTATTTTTTTCGGTCTGCTACAATATACCTGGCCTCCCCCTAGTGGTTTCATCTGGAGACCTCTTTGAGCTAGGTGGTCTTAGCTTTACTGTGACTGAACCATCCCCAGCAGGGGGGGGAGGGAGTTTGTCATGTCAGGTCTGCCCTGCCCTTCATGGGATGGATTTTGGGTTCATGCCCTAGATCTAGACGACCCTCAATGATGTTGTCCCACTGAGAGGAGACACTCCTGTTTATTGAGCAGCCTCCCTTGTCGTCACTCTTTACTTATTTGAAAGTATAGTTGCTTTATTGCCCCTCCTCCCCCCCCTCCCCACTCACCTCTATTGGTCACTTGACTTGGTCTGTGAATAAAATAGTAATTAAGTGTCCCCAATCCCCTTTTTTTGCTACCTCTTCATTGGACAGATCTAGCCCACAAGATTGAACAGACCTTTTGTCCATCATGAGAAACTAAGCTGCTAAATTGTCATCTCACCAGTAAAAACCACCACAACCCTCTTCTTCAATTCATGCTTATTTTTGGTTCAAGGAGTGACACAGTGAATCACAAGTTTGTTCATCTGAGATTAGGAAAAGGGTGGAAGCCCTAACAATTATAAAGAAGGGGGAGGTGAGGTTCTAGTGTCAACTCCCACTGAACCCCACTACTAACTTCTCTTGAGACTTGGCTGTCAGAACGATCTGATTAGCTGACTTACGAGCCAAGCAAAAAGAATGCCCTTCGTGTGATTGCAAAGCCATTTTCCCACACTTTGCAATAGCTCATTCTGTAGTGAGCCCTCCGTGGCTGAATATTGATTTTTTTTTTTTTTAATGCAGCATTATTTAATTAGCAATGTTGATTATGGATCTTAATGTGGCCCTTTTTTTGTAACCAGACTATTAAACAAAGAGCTATCAGACTAAATACCATGATCTGTTTTCACTCTGTCTAATAAAATATCTATCCATCTATCACTCTTTTGTTGTCCTTGTGACTGTTTTATACTGTTGTGATGACTATATTTGGTATATATTAAAAAAAAAAAACAAAGAGCGCAAAAATTAGCTATGACATACGAAACAAAGCAGTCACTGCAAAAAGCAGTATACAAATAAATGAATAAAAAAATAGAATCAAGTAAAAAATAAACCAGCTGCTACAAAAACACAAAAAACTTTCCCAAGGGGAAAGCCTAGTAGCCATGCTGAGCGGTCGCATATCAAACGAGCTCCGTGCTAAACTGCTCATCATCAGCTACAATCGGGGCAAAAGTCTTAAATCTTGCCAGCAAAGTGACCCGGAGAAGGGAGTCTACTATTGCGGCGACAAGCACAGGATGTGTGTGGAAATTTAGTGTCTCGGATTTATTTTTATGTAAGTTATGCAGGGTGTTTCCCTACACCAGTATATCACTAATCCCTATTGCCACCACCATCAGATTCCATTAGAATTAGGCTATAAGTCTTGCAGATAAACGATATACTATATCAGCATCTTAGTGGCAACAGTGATCTAGACAGTTCTTATACTGGTTAAACATGTATCTCTT